ACTGCCCCTGGGGAAGGGGGGGGGCGGGCAGGCGGCCGAGGCTCCGGGGGCTCCTCTGCACGAGCCTGCTGCTTACCCCACAGACCACCCGCTCCTCCCGGAGAGGAGAGCAAGGCAAACAATGGGCGGCTACAGTGAGCGTAGCATCTCCGCGGCTCCGCCCACTCCGCTCGTGGGGCGCTTTAAGAGCAGGAGTTTCTGCTGCTCCAGCAGGACCCAGGCTCCCATCCCGTCGGAGGGACAGCCTTCACCAGAATGAAGTCATTTCGGCGAACCCTGGGCTTCAGCTGCCTCCCCGGGACAGAGCGCGAGCCTGGCCTCTGCTTCCCGTGGCGAAGGGCAGACGCCAGGGCCGGGCCACCCTGGTGTGAACCAGAAGCTAATGGCGCCAGGGCCCCAGGCGGCCGCAGGCACCCTCCCTGTGGGCAGAGCGCTGTTACCTTTTCTGATCTTGTCGTGAAAGTTGATGGCGTCCACAGAAGCCGTGACTATGTTGGTCTTGCAGTGCCGTGCGGCCACGATGCCGGCCACCTCGTCCATGAGCTTCATGGTGACGCCTGCGCAGAAAAGAGGCACGAGGCAGGTGAGACGGGCAGGGAGCTGCTTCCCACAGGGAACAAGGTGTGAACACCAAGCCCTCCCAGCTCCCACCAGCGGGGGCTGCACGGCGCTGGGGGCGGGCAGGCATGGGGACTGGGGAGGCTGGTGGAAGCCTGGCTTCCTCAGGAGCTTTTTAAAATTGTTTTTAAATATGTTTTGATTTTAGAGAGAGAGGAAGGGAGAGGGAGAGCAAGGTAGAAACATTGATGAGAGAGAAACACCAATGGGCTGCCTCCTGCACGCCCCCTACTGGAGATCCAGTCTGCAGCCCGGGCGTGTGCCCTGACCGGGAATTGAACTGGGGGCCTCCTGATACTCGGGACAGTGCTCAACCACTGAGCCACACCGGCTGGGCCTCCAGGAGCTTTTGAAAATGACCCAGCTGAAGTCCTAGGTCAATAACAAAATACAGTCCTTTGTCCTGCCCTCTCCAGAGATGTCTCCTGCCAGGACAGTGTCCTTCCTGAGTGGCTGCACCGAAGTCAGGTCCCAGTGCGGGGAGGACGGGTGGAGTCGGACCCTCGGAGCTGCTGGGGATGGAAAGGGGTGCGACCGCAGCCACTCTGGAGGTAAGTGGGAGTTTCACCAAAGGCCAGCTCCGCGCCACACGAGGCAGCCAGCCCGCCCCGGTGCACCCGTGAGAACGGAAAGCAGATCACCCCCGCGTGCGGATCTCACGACGGCGTCTCCCAGCAGCCAGACCGGGATGTCCCCCCACCGATGAGGGGACGAAGGACAGCCCGTCCGTGCAATAAAAACAGACAAAGAACCGACACCCTACACATGGGAGAGCCTGAAAACGACGCTGAGCGAGAGCAGGCACAAAGGCCAGGCGCTGCGTGGCTCCATGCGTGCGAGGTGCCCGGACAGGCAGGCCCCGAGACAGGAAGTAGGTCCGTGGTTGTCCGAGGCTGGGGAGCAGGGGAGGGGAGGGCCTACTCATGGGTATGAGTGTCTCTTTGGGGTTACGACAATGCCCTAAGTTGCTGGTGGTGGTGGCAGTGTAGCTGATTACACTGAAAACCAGTGACTGGTGGTGTGAATTGTGAGGTCTGTGACTTCCTCTCAACAACTCTTCTAGAAAACACAGTCAGAAAGGCAGGCTGCACCGGCCGGCCCCGCCTGCTGGACAGAATCCCGACAGCACACCTGCTAGCTCCCGCCCCGATCTCGCACCCCAGCACAGCACATGATGCTTACTTCACATTCACAGCTTAAACATGCCCTTCAGTTGCGCTACGGAGACTGTCCCCAGGAAAGCAGCAAAGGGTACTGGTCAGCTCCCAGCTCCCGGAAATCGTAGTCACAGACCCACCCAGGACACAGGGGCTCCCGGTCAGAGAGGCAGAGCCAGCCCCCGTCCAGGAAAGTGGGCTCCCAGGGAGCCTGCAGGGAGGGCGGCAGACAAATGCCGACGCCACGCCACTCGGACGAGGGCCCGAGCCACCAGCGTGGGGTCTGGTGTGTATGAGGAACCTGCCCATGTGTAGACATGCGATCGTTACCGCTTTGCCGTGTGGGGAAAACAAAATAAATACCAGGTCACGGAGAGGCCAGGAGCTCGTGCTGCCCTGGCGGCCACAGCTGAGCCTCCGGGCCTCACAGGTATCGGGGACACCGCTTCCCAGGACCTGGAGGCAGGGAGGCCGCTCTCCTCTCCGCGTCTGCATACTGAGCATTTCCAGAATAAAAAGGGTTGTTCTTTGTAACGAGTGTCCTTGACTTTAAGAAAGTGGGCTTCCATTACCACGACTCTCACAGAAGGTGCCACTGAGGACCACGGCGCTTGGCTCGGTGGGTGGCGGGCGCCCCGCTCGGTCGGCTGAGGTGTCAGCATCCCCTCTTCCAACTACGGCAAGGCTCAGGCCCGGAGGTCAGCGCTGGAGGGCGTGCAGTGAGCCTGCGGTGGGGGAGTGAGTGCTGGCCGGCCGGCCGGACAGCAGCCGGAGGCACAGAGGCCACAGAGCTCGCGCAGGAAGAGTAGGACCAGCCCACGACCACGGGCACGAGGCCGCACGGCGCTGCCTCTCCATCCACGACTGCGAGGCGGGCTCCAGGTGGATTCCGAGCTGTGGGGCGACTACGGAAAGGGGCGCTCAAGGCCACGGCGACTGGGGAAGTGTGATGGCCTGTAGGTGGAAGGCCACGGGCTGTGCGGCCAGCTCCGGCCGCCAGGCGGCGTCATCGGCCAGGGGGTCAGTTGGGGCAGGCGGGCAGGCGAGGCGGTGGACAGGAAGGAACCCTGAGCTGGAATGGATGTTGAGAACAGAAGATACAACGAGCCCTCCCTGTGTCCCTGTAGGCGGGGCCGGTGAGGATGGAGGTGTGAGCGGAAGGAGTCAGAACCTGCCCCCGGGAGCGGGGGTGCGGCCCCATTGACCGGAAATGCCGGTGGGGGTCCCACAGGCGTCACTGCTCCTAAGAACAGCGCAGGGCCGAGTGCGCCAGAGCGTGGCCGCGAGCCCGGGCGGACGGGAGGCGTGGGCCGCTGGCGCTCCCGCTGTCAGCCCGGCAGCCCTGGCCGAGCGCCCAGGCCCCTGCGTCACGTGCGACAGAGCCTTCTGAGGCCAGCATTGAGCTCTCCGTGTAGCGAGCCCTACAATCTACCCTGATTACCGGGGTTCGCCATGTGAACTATGACGGCGAAAGTGTAGACCTGCTCCCCGAACACTGCACTCATCAGGGTTAGAAAGAAAAAACAAGACTTGCTTGGCCACCAACATATAGACAAACATCGGCAGCAGAGGTAACATCTAACCGCCCACAGGTTTGTTTTCTGAAGTATCAACCACGCGCTGAGTGGCCTGAAAGAGGCTTCAGTTCCTTTCCCGGCCCGACTGGCTGACGGGGCCGCGCTTGCCGACAGACCCACAGCAGCCGCGCTGTGGGCGGCGATTTGAAATGCCCCGTCTCTACATTTAATTCCGGGGACGGAGTGTGGGGCCAGCCCCTGAGATGAAGGCAACGGTAGTAAGTGCAGCCATGGTGAGGAGCCCCGTGGTGACCACACGGTCACTCCAGGGGCCGGAGTGACAGCCTCCTCCCCACACAGTCTGGCCTCCCTCCCAGGCTCCACACGGACCTGCGGGCACCTCTGTGCACCGGACCAAGGGCAGAGGAGCACTAAAGGTAATCAATAAGGATGATTTTTGGCAATTAATGGGCAGTGTGGTAAAGATGATAGGTTTCTAACATCAAAACGTCAAAAGCGGGAAGTCTGCAGAGGCCTCGGGCACAGCCGGACCGTGGCTCCCGGGGGCCGAGCATCGCAGACCAGGGGTTGGGGGAAGGGCTGCTGCATTTGGTCGCTCACTGTCCAAGGGAACTTGAGACAGTCCCTGTTAAATCTGCCGGCTGCTGAGTGGGGATCAGTGCCTGCCCTGTTGTGAGCGAGGCGGCAGGGGAAGGAGGGCAGGCGAACCCTGCATGGAGCCGGGACCAGGCCGCCGTGTGTGCAGGAGACCCATCC